AAAATTCAGCTGTAGGCAATATTTTTCATTGGAAGTAGTCTTGACCTTCCTCCAAATATTCAGTGGTTTGCCTCTTGGACTAATGTGCCTTTATTTTTGAAGGGGACAAGACTCCTTTTCCCTCCTTTCTTAAAGAAATCTCATCTCAGCTGTGGCCTAATAACAAGAAGGTAATCTTTCTTGGGGAGAATAACTTTTTTGAGACTTGAACTCTGTCTCAGCCTTTTGGATCGAACCGTAAAACAGTAATAAAAAAGACTCTTCCATTGGGTGGGAAATGATGAGTCCATTGCCATATGTTTCCCCCCCAGACAAACTGGCCTTCTCTTGTCTTAGTTCCTGGTTGTTAATTTGAAGGGCAGTGGAAGTATTTTGACCCCTGACACCGAGTTATTTTACCACTGAGAAAGAGGCCCTGTGCGCATGAAGGTAACTCTGGGAGAAACTTCATTACCATCAGTGAGTTTGCCCATTGCTTTCATTGGTGTCAATGAGGCCCAGCTTAAATCCATTTCAAGATGGGAAGTGGAACTAGTGATTCCCCTGCATGGTATGTGTGAGAGAAGACAAGCTGAGGAATCTCAGCTTCTTGGATTCCAGGTCTTTGGGGGCTCCTTGCAAAGCTGGATTTCAGGACTTGACAAGGTAAAGCAAAGCTAAGCAAAACTAGTGAATTTGCCTCCCCAGCATCCTATCCCTCTAAAGAGCAATAAGCTCTGTAGCTATCTCAAGGCTGCTTCTGCTCCTTTTATCTTACCTCAAATGCTTGTGGATTCCTTCTGTCATAGTTTCATAGTAGCTAGGGTCAGGAGGGACCTGATCAGATCATCTAAACTGACCCCCTGCTGCAGGCAGGAATGAATGCTGGGTTCACAAGACCCCAGACAGGTGATCATCCAACCTCCTCTTGAATTTGCCCAAGGTAGGGGCAAGGACCACTTCCCTAGGAAGCTGGTTCCAGATTTTGGCCACCCTTACTGTAAAATATTGCTTCCTGATCTCTAACTTAAACCTATTCTCCATCAGCTTATGACCATTGTTCCCCATCACCCCAGGTGGTGCTGGGGAGAAAAGAGCTCTGCCTATTTGCTGATAATCCCCCCTGATGAGTTTGTAGGCAGCCACCAGGTCCCCCCTCAGCCTCCTCTTGCTGAGGCTGAACAGGTTCAGGTCCCTCAGTCTCTCCTCGTAGGGCCTGTCCTGCTGCCCTCTCACCAAGCGGGTAGCCCTCCTCTGAACCCTCTCCAGGCTGGCCACATCCCTCTTGAAATGCGGCGCCCAGTACTGGACATAATACTCCAATTGTGGCCTGACCAATGTCGCATAGAGGGGGAGTATCACCTCTCTGGATTGGCTTGAGATGCATCTTTGGATGCATGACAAGGTACAGCTGGCCTTGCTGGCTGCAGTCTGGCATTGGCGGCTCATGTTCATCTTGGAGTCAATAATGAGGCCAAGATCCCTTTCCGTCTCTGTGCTTTCAAGAGTGGAACTCCCCAGCCTGTATGTAAGCTGTAGATTCCTTCTCCCAAGGTGTAGCACCCTGCATTTATCTATGATGAACCCCATCCTATTCTCATCTGCCCACTTTTGTAGTCTGTCTAAATCTAGTTGCAGCGTCTCTCTGCCTTCGAGTGTGCCCACCTCGCCCCACATCTTAGTGTCATGAGCAAACTTGGACAATGTGCTTTCAACCCCCTTGTCCAAGTCGCTGATGAAGATGTTAAACAGTGCGGGCCTGAGGACTGAGCCCTGGGGTACCCCACTGCTCACATCTCACCAGGCTGAGTACAACCTGTCCACCACTACTCTCTGGGTGTGCCCCACCAGCCAATTTTTTACCCATCCAACTGTGCAGGCATCAATGCCACAGTTGCTTAATTTTGATGAACCCATGCTGATTGCCCCTGAGCATGATCTCCCCTGCAGGCCCCCCACAGATGTGCTCCTTGATGATTCTCTCCAAGATCTTCCTGAGCACCGAGGTGAGGCTTACAGGCCTATAATTACTTGGGTCCTTCTTCCTCCCCTTCTTGAAAATAGGGACCACATTAACCAGTTTCCAATCCCCCGGCATCTGGCCGGATGACCATGAATGCTCATACAGCTGGGCCAAGGGCTCCGCGATTACCCCTACCAGCTCCCTCAACACCCTTGGGTGGAGGACATCTGGACCTGCAGATTTTAAAATGTCTAGCCCTTCCTGAAGATCCCTAACTACATCTGCATTGACTGAAGGCCTGACAGAGCTATCCCCGAGATTGTCCTGGTCCCTGCTCAAGAAAACAGAGGCAAAGAAACTGTTAAAAATATCAGCTTTCTCATCTGACATAGCCACAAGATTACCATTTGAGTCTTGCAGGGGCCCTACATTGCCTGGTGCCCTCTTCTTGCTCCCAATGTACTTGAAAAAGGACTTTTTGTTGTCCTTAATCCTGGACGCTAGCCCGAGTTCCATCTCTGCCTTGGCCTTCCTAATAGCCCTCTTACACTCCCGGGCCGAGAAGGAGTACTCCTCCTTGGTGATAGCTCCTCCCTTCCACTGGTTGTACGCCCC